ATGGGAGACGCAGCAGCAAACCTGGCAGCTGGATCGAACCCTGGCAAAGCTGCCTGCCCAGGACGGACGCAGGATGCCCATCAGGTGGGAGCAGGGTTGAGGTTTCCAGAACAAGAGTTTTGATCCAAGCATCCAGCATAGTCTGCTTTCTAAGCACAAAGCTGCACGGGAAAATGGTTCGAGGAGTGCAACCACTGTGGTTTGTTACAGCACAGTCTCTTCCTGTTTGGAAACCACCTAAGCAAACACTGATTTAGGGATAAGGGAAATAAAAGAGAATATGGCTCAAACTTTCCACTAAATCCCTAGAAGTTTCAGCTTTTACATGCTGTGTTGTCTTTACATAATGAAGTCACACTGCAATTATAAATGAGAGTGACTTGGCTCCGCTTGTTTGTTTTTAACTTGCAATTATTACAAGGTTTATCACTTATTACAAGGCATGGTGAGAGCCAGTATTGCAGCAGAGCCAGAAATGATGAACTTCCTGCAGAATGTACTGGCCTGACAGGGGTGAATCAGAAACTAATTAAACTGGGAGCTAGGTTAAGTGCAAGGGAACTCAACCTCAGCTGTTGCAAACAAGCAAAATTCTTCCTTTATTGCAAGGATCTTTATTCACAGATCCAGAGTCTTGCTTTCTGAGTAATAAGAAAGCAAAAAGGACTCAGGTCACAATGCATTTATCCAACAGGCTTCTCTGACGCCAGGCGAGGAAGGAATCGGTTCGGTCTGTCTCTTGCACTTATGTGCTTCTACCCAATGATTTATTTGTCAGACTTTCAAGGAAATAAGCTATCAGTTCAACAAACATTTAAGCATGTGCCTTACCATAATCATGCTTAATTCCCATTGACGTGGGACTCAAGTGTGCATTGAAGACCTTTTCTGAATCACTTTATACTATTATATTATTCTCTTACTTCCCCAGCAAAACACCTGGATGTTGCCAAAGTGTACTCACCAACAGAGGCAAAACTAATCCTGGAGGTTGCAAATTAGAGGGGCTACATCCAGGGCAGGGTTAGGATGCTCCTGCTGTGAGGAAGGGACCTACAGGGGCTGTCTTGGACAGTATTTTGCCGCAGCCCAGCAGTGCTGCGGGAAGAGGTGACGTTAAATCAATAGCAGCAATGGTCAGAGACCAGCAAACTGCAGGGGTCCGTGGCCCGCCTGGGCAGCGAGAGCGGCACCAGCACAGCTCTGCTGAAGGTTGCATCTGGAGTGGAACAGCTCCAAATCATTTTTATGGCTGATAATAAAAATGTGTTACCACATAATCAACACAAAACAGTGGCAACGGTATCCTTTCCATTAAAACAACATGTTTTAAATGAGCGCTCTGCTGATAAATGCTGTAAAAAATTTAAAGGCATGCACAGAATAATCCAGTATGCTCTTTTATAAATTGACTATATATACTTAGCAGTCATTAAGGCTCAAACCATAATAACAAGTTTATTTTCCCTCAGCACAAAATGATAGAGGTCAGAAAGTCTCCAGACTTGAAATTGCCGAGAAATTCTAGTTTTTATGATTAGGACTAAAGAAGTACCCAAAAGAAATAAAGTAGAAAGAAGAGAGCTCTCACATCCGTGAGATCCACAGAGCCAAACTAAAGAAGGAAAAGCGCAAGGGATTTAGTCACATTCAAAAATCTCAAACTATACACGGCTCTTTCAACAAGGAGTGTCCTCTTATAGGCTAGCATAGCACATAGCACAAACGGGGTCCTTACGCATTATTGCAATAGCACTGGAGCCATTCATCTATTTTCTGTCACGTTCTGTTTTTCTTGAGGCTGCCATTGCCGTAGTCAAGGGACTCAAGGAGAATTCCCACTTTCATTAAATAAAAAAAGAAAGTTTCTAGCCCTCTGAGTAAACTGCTGGAAAATGATACCACAGAGGCTCACAGCCAGAAAGCAAATTAGCAAAATGTGCAATGTATTAAAGTCTCTGTATTAAAGTCTTAGTATTTTCTAGTCAATAAGGTTGAGGTAGAGAGCGAGATAACACCAAGTGAAGAAGAACTTGTGGTTTTGATTGGAAATCCTCATTGGAAGCAGTGCCCCCACCTCTGTTGCTGTTACCACTTCCAATGCAAAAGCTACGCCTCCATGAAGACTGGCGGCAGGAAACATCCTAATGCGACCACACAAATGAAATACGTCTTGACGCCATGGGTAACGTTAGTCACCCAACCAACCAGAGCAGGCACAGAGAACTAGCTGAAGGGCAGCGCTTGTGGTTGCTGGCTATGGTGTCAGGAGGGCAGATCCCTGCAGAAGACATGAAAACCTTTCCTCCCCGGTTTGCACTGCATTGCACCAGGTGAAGGATGGCCTCAACTCAGCAAAACACTCGGGCTTTTGTCTTTTTGCACGTATGGAAGCAAAAAGTCAAATCTGAGCCTAAATGGACACGCTGAACTGGAGCCTCTGGCAACAGAGGTCCCGCCGGCATGAGGGCTTGTCTCTGGTTTCCAGACCCCACCTCTCAGACGCAGCTGAACTGGGTCAGAAAGCTGGAAAGAACTGAAATGGGGCCGCATCTCCTGCCAACACCGCAGCAGGAGACGGGCCCAATGTAGGAGACGGCGTGTGAACGCGAATGGAACGCAAGAGGGATGATGCACTGTGCTGGCCAAGGAGCTTGCAGGCCAGCGCCAGCGGTAGAGGTTATTGCCTGCAAAACTCACCCCTGGGCCTTTCGAGTCCCGCAGAGCCGCCGGGCTCACCTCTGTACAGGATCTGGCGCTTGCTCTTCTCCCGTGGCTCAAAGCCTGGCTCTTCACTGTGGGGCCCGCTCACACGTAGGGCCCTCAGCAGGGACATTACTGTTGTGTGCCTGAAGCTCAGTCCCAGCTTACTCAACCCACCTCCCCCTTTTCTATTTGCCAGCATAAACTTTCTAAACTTCAGACACATACCACATTTCCTGCGTCAGATCAAAAGCTCAGGCCAGGGACAATGGAAACGGGAAGAAGGTTTTCATCTTCTTGAGATGTTCAGTGTCAGAGGACTTTTTTTGGCTTGTAGTGGCTTTCAAGAACCCTATTTTGGTTGTTCCCACACATCAAAAGAAGATTTCACAAACACAGCCTCCTCCCATCATCTGTCCTCCACTCGCATTCCTGATGTCCTGTAACTAGTAGGTGCTAGAAACAAGGAAAGAACAGCCGAGCTTCCAAAGATTTCAAAATTGATATAACAAGGCTCAGAATGCTTTTTCTTTGGATAAAAATCCATGGAAATGCAGGGGGAATCATTTGACATAATCCAGATGGATATTATTAATTAATAAACAGGGGATATTTGGTCTCTTGAAGCATTGGCAAAATTAACTCCCCTCCATCCCTCTCTAAAGAGGATGGAAAGAAACTGCACGAATCCAGCTCATCAGCTAAAAATTCCAGTGTAAAATAAGATTCCCTTGATCTTGTAAAGACACAAGCTGATTAATAATGGTAATTGCATAACTTGTTGGACATATCTTTCTTTATAGCAAATTATTTGGCAAAATATAAGAGTTTTTTAATCATTCATCAAGACACAGAGCTAAACAGGGAGTTTTTCAAAATCTGATGGAGAATGGTATCTCTCTTCTAGCAATATGAAACTTGTGAACGCAAGGCTGCTAGGCAGACGCAACTGCTTGGCTTCAAAAGCCAAAAGATATTCAGTAAGTGTCCACTAAAATCTGATAAACTGGGTGCC